CAATTGGGCCCCGCCCACAAGCAACCAACTGTCAGTGAGGACTGTTAGCGGTCCCGTTCCGCCATTGGTTGGTGCTGAAGTGGGTCCTGCCCACAAGCAACCAACTGTCAAGGAGCGGCCATTAGTGAGGAATTCAGCCAGCGATTGGTGGAGTGGTGGTCATCAGGTGGAGAGTGAGGTAAGAGTCAGTTTCCAGCCTTCTCCCAGGGCCCTCCAGCTCACTGAAGCTGGGGCCAGTGGGTAAGCTGGGTGGCCCATGAAACAAGCTTGGGGCTGTGTCCTGCAGGACTCCAGAGTCCTCACCAAGGCCACCCATTGGCCGTGGCCATGCCTTGAGGAAGCAGTGAACCTCTCCCTCATCCCCATTTCTGTGACCTAATTCAGTCGGCCTGGACCTGCCCCAGCCTTCCAGTGGCCTGAGGAGCCTGAGGGTCAGTTGGATTCTGGGTGCCTGACTCCCTCAGTGAAGACAGCTGGGCAGGGTCTGGGGACCTGGCCCTGAGAGAGCCACCAACTGAGATCTGCCTCCTTTTAGGCAGGACTTGTGTTGGTGATCCCAGATGGGACCCAAGGCATAAAGGGCCTTTCGCTCCCTGGCTCCAGCCTGCATGCTCCACTGAGACAGACAGAAGCTATAACAGTCCTCCTTAGCCATTGGTTGGGCACCCCAGTGGGCCCTTCCTCCCAACCAAGTGAGCAACTGTCAACCAGCAAACAGTTAACAGTCCTATTCTGCCATTGGTCAGTGCCACTGAAAGCCCCTTCCTCTTCCCTAGTGTATATAAAAGGTCCCTGAATTCTGACTGGGATAAGATGGTTTTTAGAGACACTAGTCTGCCATTTCCTCGGTCTGTTGGCCTTCTGATTCAAGTCATTGTTCCTTGCTCTGACAACTCTTCTCCCGATTTATTGGCCTTGTCGTGTGGTGAGCTTGGGCTTGGTAACACTGGGACCTTACAAGGTGAAAGTTGTGCCTCGGGACCTCGCCCTTTTTTGTCAAAACAGGGAATAACATTTGTTTGGTGGAAATTTACAGGAACAGCATTACCTGACCTCAAGAACAAAGGGTCTGACACAAAAAGGTTTGCACCAATTACCCACGCCCTTCCCTCACCTTTCCTAGAAAAGGGCTATGCTGAGAGCTTTCAGGGCATTTAGGGTTTTAAAGGCATGAGTCACCCATCTCTTTGCATGGCCCTGCAGCTAACCTTTCTGTACTCCAAACTGACATTTTGGTATTATTTGGCCTCACTGTGTGTTGGGCATAGGAACTTGCTTGTCAGTAACACTTCTTGTTGGCTATCCATAAATAAATAAGTTCTCTTCCTAGTTCAATATTAAAAAAAAAAAAGGCAAGATTTTCCTAAGGTCCTCTCTCCATAGAACACACAATAGCTGTGTTGTATGCAAGTACATTTGATCCAACTGGTCACTCATTTAAACCCTCCTGTAAATACTACATTCACTTGACTTCCAGGAATCTCATTGACTTGGTTTTCTTCTACTTCTTGGGCATCTCCCTTGCTGGTTCATCCACATTCTTTTCTATTTGTACTCTTTTTCCTGTTGATCTCGTCTAGTCTTATGACTGTTAATACCATATATGTTGATGACTCAGCCTGAATATTTCCCTTGAACTCCAGACTTATACGGCCACTTGTCTACCCTACATCTCCACTTGCATGTTAACACAGAGCTCAAATGTAACACGTCCAAATACAAACCCCTGCTTTCCCCTCCTACTTCATCCAAGGAAGAAACTGAGTACTGTGAGGAAGAATAACGGGTGGGGAGGGGGCAGGATATCTACTTTTGATGAAATGGGAATACAACTATAAGGAGGTGACATTTAAGCTGAAGGGAGGTCTGAAGGACAAAAAGGAACCAAGAAAACAAAATATAAACCTGGGGTGGCGGAGGGTATTTCAGGGAAAGAAAACAATCTTATGTGAAGATCCTGAAGGATTAAAGAGCATGGTATATTTGAGAAGCCAAAAGAAAGCCCATGTGACTGAAGTGAGAGACTGGCAGTTCCTGTAGGTTCCACAGCATCTGTAGTGTAGGAATTCTAGAGTTAGATTGCTGAGGTCAAATCCAGGTTTTGCCTCTTAACAGCTTGTAATATTTGACAAGTCACTTTAACTGCTCTGAGCCTTTGTTTCCTTAGCTCCTAAAATGGGAATATTTTTAGCACCTATAGAGTCGGACATGACAGAGTGACTGACACACACCCTGTATAGTAGTTGTACCGTTTAAAGAGCCATTGCATTATTCTTAGAGCAGCAACCACAATGTAGCATGTCTTTTAGTAAAAATGGGAACATCTGTTTTGAGTTCAATTACTTCTCACCACATGGAGAACTGCCACTCTAGTCCACTATCATTTCTGGCCCCACTTCTAAAACTGCCTTTCATTTGGTCTCTAGATATTCACTCTTAACCAAATACAATCCATTCTCCACACAGAAGCCAGGGTGATTTTTTTATTTAAGAGAAGTCTGTGTCCTTATTTACCAGCAGGCTGCTTGAGGGGGATAAAGCAGGAGTGGGTAGCTCTGATGCCGGGCAGCTGTGCTTTGTGGGCTTGTAGGTGATTGAGAACTCGCCTAGGGAATGGCCAATCATTTCAGGCAGTACTTGGGTGCAACCTCAAAAATGACAGAATGATATCTGTTTTCAAGGCAAGCCGTTCAATATCACAGTAATCCAAGACTATGCCCCAACCAGTAATGATGAAGAAGCTGAAGTTGAATGGTTTTATGAAGACCTACATGACCTCCTAGAACTAACACCCAAAAAAGATGTCCTTTTCATCATAGGGGACTGGAACACAAAAGTAGGAAGTCAAGAGATACCTGGAGTAACAGGAAAATTTGGCTTAAAGTACAAAATGAAGCACGGCAAAATCTAGCAGAGTTTTGCCAAGAGAACGCACTGATCATAGCAAACACCCTCTTCCAACAACACAA